CCAGGCACACTGCTGCTGGCAGTTGGTCACTTGACAATTTGCAGTTGACAGAGCACTTTCCCCATCTACCCCCTTCTGATCTTCACCAGGTGGGCACGGAAAGGACACACCTCTCCACAGCCACCCAGCAAGTAGTGGGAAGGCTGAGTCTCAAAACCAAGTCTCCCTAATTCCAGTGGGCTGGAGGAGCCTTTCACCCCTGTTTTACAGTTGAGAAAGGGGTACAGGGGAAGCAAAACAAGCGTGTGTTCAGTAGGCCCAGGCTGTGGGGTCAGCCACCTTGGCTTTGAACCCTGACTCCACTTACCAGCTTTTCACCTAGAGAAACTTACTGACCTATTCTGGGCCATGGTTTTCTCATCTATAAAGCAGGGATCATAGGATGCCTATCTCATAGGGGTTTTGTGAGAAATAAATGAGTTAATATAGGTAAAGTGCATAAAGCAAGGCCTGGCATGTAATAAGTGCTCAATAGATGCTAGCTGCTATCATTGTTGTTACTGTCATCACACTGCCTCCCAGGTTTGGGGAAAGGACTCATTGAAATGCTCCTTCACTAGAAGGGCTCCTAGAAAGAGGTGTGCAAACTTTGAAGTAATAGATAAGGTTAAATATTATTTAATGCGTCCTGGACTGGCAATATTGAGCCAACTGTTCTCATCTATTGAGCTAAGGACCATTCATGCTGAAGCCCATGTATCAGGTAATTAAATAAAAACATCTAGAGGATTCTGGGTACAAATAGAATCCTTTCAGAGAAACCTCCAGGTGAACTCTTTGGTGGCAGCTGTCTGTCATAAGTGACCCTGGGCAGTGGAGTTCACTGTTATTCTTGGAATCAGGAATCAAGTAGATCACGGGAGTTTGGCCCCAGGGTATTTGGGTTATCTTCTCCAAGCATGGGATTTTTGGAATGAAGTTTAGAGGCTATCCTGGGAAGTTTGGCCTGTCAGAGCGCAGGAAGAGTACTCTGTGGCTCAAGAAGAGTAGAAAATGATGTAAAGGGAGAGAAAATAAAAAAAGAAAACTAGGCAAAGGATATGTGCGAATTGAGAACACCCAGCTGGGCTGCTGACCTTGAGTGAGTGGATGGATGCATGGTGATTGGACAGGAAGATCTAGCTGTAAATAGAAAGGCTGTCTTTTCCCCTGAACTACCCAGCGCAGATGACAGATTCGTGGCGAGGCAGGCAGACTCAGAAGCCAAAATAGAAAAAGGAGATGTAGCAGGAATTGTTGAACGCAGACAGGGATGGGATCCAGACATGAAAAACACCAGCAATATGGTGGTGAGGCAAAGAAACCAGGGTTGTCTGTGGATGTGGAGGGATATGTCGAAGGGGGAAGGTGGGGTCCTGGAGACAGCTGCGACATGTGTTCCCACCCTTTAGCCACACCTGTTTTATATTATTTTATTTCTTCTTTACATTCCATCCATTTTTGCTCATTTGTAATCTCCCTAAAACTCCTAGAAACCCCCTTCCTGCTGATATCATCCTCTCCGTATGCCAGTTCCACCAAGACCATATCCAAATGACTCAATGGACTCATTTATTTTATTTTTATTTTAAGTTCCAGGATACATGTGCAGGACACGCAGGTTTGTTACACAGGTAAACGTGTGCCATGGTGGTTTGCTGCACCTATCGGCCCATCACCTACATGCATTAGCTATTTATCCTGATGCTCTTCCTGCTGCCACCGCCCCTGACAGGCCCCAGTGTCCTTTAAACCAAGGCATGAAGATCATCAAAATAGGCACCTGCTTTGATTATCTGCAAGTCTGCAGTCACCCCTTTTGGCCACTAGATGTCGAGAACGCATCAGTATGGCACATTTTCTGGTCCGTTGAGTATTTGGATGTGATCTTGGTGGAACTGGCATACAGAGAGGATGAAATCAGCAAGAAGGGGGTTTTTAGGAGTCTTAGAGAGATTGCAAATGAACAAAAATGGATGGAATGCAGAGAAGCAATCTTTCCACCAAGACCCACGAAGAAAAGTTGACTGCATTTTAAATCTTGGTATTGTTTTACAAGTTTGGGAGATTTTTAGGATAAAGGAAGAAGGGAGAAACATGGCTTAAAAAAATATATATATATATATATTTACATTAGTTAATGTTCTCCAGAGCTTGTAAGCATTTCTAAGTGAGCATGTTTAAGGTTCTTAAACCCTGAGCCCAAATCAGGGATGATAATGATGATGATGATGGTGGTGGTAGCACCTGATGGATACCTCCATGGCTCTTACTATGTGGAAGGTATTATTCTCAGCACTTGACAGAAACTGACTCATTTAGTGCTCACAAGCAGCCTAGGAAGTAAGTGCTATTATTATCCGTGTTTTACATATGAGGAAGCAGAGGTCAGAGAGGTTGTGTGACTTGTCCAAAGCCACATAGCTGGCGAGTGGGAGCATCAGGATTCAACCCAGACATTTGTCCATATTCCTACCTTCTATGATCTGCAATAGATGTTGCCACATTGACTCCTGGGCTGTGGCAAAGGGAACTTTCTGAGCAATGAATCAGTGCTGTGATTTAATGATAGAAGTCACAGAGGCTGGGTACAGTGGCTCACACCTGTAATCCTAGCACTTTGGGAGGCCGAGGCGGGTGGATCACCTGAGATCAGGAGCTCAAGACCAGCCTGACAAGCATGGTGAAACCCCATCTCTACTAAAATATAAAAATTAGCCAGGTGTGGTGGCGGGCACCTGTAATCTCAGCTACTTGAGAGACTGAGGCAGGAGAATCGCTTGAACCCAGAAGGTGGAGGTTACAGTGCGCCGAGATCGTGCCACTGTACTCTAACCTGGGCAACAAGAGTGAAACTCTGTCTTAAAAAAAAGGCACAGAATTCCTCATTCTAATAAACTCACTTCACAGCACTTCAAATGACAAGGAGTAAGATTTTAGGGTTGGCCAGGAATTCATTCTGAGTTCTCCGACTTACAGGGCTTGGTTAGATAGGAGCACATTTCATTCCCAGGGGGAAGCCTTTATTCTATTAGCTGTTATAGTAATCCAAACCACAGAAGAGAATGAACAAGGCGCAGGAGCCATGGATTCCAGAAGTTTCTTAGCATAGAAAGATGATCATACACTTGGCATTGCAAAAGAAAAGTACATTTCTAGTTGGGGACCAGCAAAAATGCTATTGGTATGGAGCAGCCCAGTCAGTGTTCAAGCTACTAAAAGTATTGATGCCTGCTCAGAAAGTGGTAATGAATTAAAGAAATTCATTAAGTGCTGGGTGTGGTGGTTCACAGCTGTAATACCAGCACTTTGGGAGGCTGAGGCAGGAGGATCACGTGAGCCCAGGAGTTCGAGATGAGCTTGGACAACATGGCAAAACTCCATCTCTATTTATAAAAAAATGATACAGACAATCTAGGATGATCTGGTAGAAAAAGTGGTGGATTAAAAGTGAGAGTCCAGATCTCCAGTATGGTTAAATATGTGTTTACCATATGACCCTTAATCCCACCCCTGGGTATTTACCTAAGAAAAATGAAAATACATGTCCACACAAAGAAATGTACATAAGCATTCATAGCAGCTTTATCCAAAATAGCTAAAACCTGTAAACACCTCGAGTAGCTATGGACATATGACTAAGTAAACAGATTGTGGCATAACCATGCAATGGAATACTTAGCCATAAAAAAGAAGTTCTGATATGTACAGCATCATCAGTGAATCTCAGAAAAATTATGCTGAGTAAAAAGAGGGCTGACCCAAAGGAGTTTATATTGTATGATTCCATGGAACTGGATTCTGGAACACACGACAGAAGGCAAACCTATGATTGGGGCTGGAGTGGGGTAAGGTATTGGCTGCAAAGGGGCATGAGGGATCTTTCTGGTGTAGCGGAAGTTCTATATTTTGCTTGTGATCCTGGATACATGGATGTAAAGTTTGGTGTCTCTGCACTGATACTTGGTGATACTTGGCACCTCTGAGCCTCAGTTTCCCTGTTTGTCAAACTGAAAGGTTGTTGGATTAGATGATGTCTAGAATTTCTTCTGGCTCAAAAATTTCCCCTGTAATAACAATATTCATTTTCTATTATGGAAGTAGAGTAGCAAAGTGCCATTTGCTTTATAGGAATTGTTTCCTTTTTTTTTTTTTTTGAGACGGAGTCTCGCTCTGTCACCCAGGCTGGAGTGCAGTGGCATGATCTCGGCTCATTGCAAGCTCCGCCTCCCTGGTTCGCACCATTCTCCTGCCTCAGCCTCCCGAATAGCCGGGACTACAGGCGCCTGCCACCATGCCTGGCTAATTTTTTGTATTTTGTTTAGTAGAGACGGAGTTTCACCATGTTAGCCAGGATGGTCTTGATCTCCTGACTTCGTGATCCTCCCGCCTCGGCCTCCCAAAGTGCTGGGATTACAGGAGGAATTGTTTTTATAGGCAAGGATGAATTTATTCCAGAGAGCATAGAATATCTATTGGGTTACTTAATGTTACTCATTTTGGGTACAGAGCCATTTGCAGCCCATTGTACTTCAGGAAACAGCTGAAAAATGATTTGTGTGTAAGAAGGATGTTCCACATTCAATTCCTGTGGGTATGTGAGGAGGGGCTATCCCTGAGGCACTGGGAGGAGAGGGAGGGATGCCACAGACACTGCTGGCAGGGCTAGAGAGGATAGCTGAGCAAGGGCTGGGCTTGCCTTGTCACTTCTGACAGTGCCCAGATGCTTGGAGCTATGGTTACCCTTTTAAATTTCCTCCTTATTTATTTATTTATTATTTTTTAATTTCCTCTTTACTAGCCCATGCCTGGCTCTTAGTTAGGGTTTAATGATGTTGTTGATGATACCCAGTCCTCAGAGAGTCTGTGCAAAAGTAAAGGAAGGCAGGTGCCCAGAGCATGTTGTGGGACCAGGGCAGCGGCCAACTAGAGTGTAGAACTTGGTATGGAGCCAGGAGCAACAGAGAGGGCCATGCTGGGTCATAGCTGGGTGCTGATTTCCCCTACTTGTGCGCCCCCAGGTCATGAAAACCTACCACATGTACCATGCAGAGAGCATCAGTGCAGAAAGCAAGCTGAAGGAGGCTGAGAAGCAGGAGGAGAAGCAGTTCAATAAGTCAGGAGACCTCAGCATGAACCTGCTCCGGCACGAGGATCGGCCCCAGCGCCGCAGCTCTGTGAAGAAGATTGAGAAGATGAAGGAGAAGGCGAGTGGGGGCCCTGGGCTGGGAGCGATTGGGGACAGGGCACAAAGGGGAGGGCCATGCTCTTGGCGGACAGCCTTAGCCTTCCCCCTTTTTCCCCCACATCCCAGTGGGGTGGTGGGGGGTGCAGGGGATGGGACAATGTAGCCAGTATCTCTTCTTTTGGAGATTGGTATTCTAGTGGAAGCAGGGCCGGACGTGCCCCTGCTAGCAGTGGTTAGGCCTGACTTAATGCTAAAGTCAGCAGGCAGACGAGGTGCTCAACTCACAAGTAAGCTGAACTGTGATGAGATTCACACCCAGCAAGCACCTTCTCAGATGACCTGGAATCACCAGGCATTAGTGGGAGCAGGGGCTTGTTCCAGAGGCCAATTTACTGGCCAAGGGTAGGGGCTGGGGGTGAGGGGGAACTGATTACTGAATGTGTCTCAACAAGAGGAACCAGAACCTGGAAACCTGGTGAAAGGCTCATTCCAAAATTGCCATTGCCAACTCAAAGAAGAGAGAATTAAAATCCCTGTGTATTGATTCTGGAAAAGTCCTTTAGTAGGGTGTGGTGGAAGGAATTCTAGCTTTGGAGTCAGATGGGCTGGGTTTTGAAAATGCCACTTTTATAACACCTCTCTGAGCTGCAGTTTTGAAATCTGACAGGAGTGGCAAATTCGTCTCATCTCTCATGTCAATTCTGATCAATTGCCCAGAGCGCTGGACTGAGAATCATGAAACCCTATCCAGATTTAGTTAAAAACAGTGCTGTAGGTCTGGCCACGGTGGCTCATGCCTGTAATATCAGCACTTTGGGAGTCCAAGGCGGGAGGATTGTTTGAGCCCAGGAGTTCGAGACCAGCCTGGGTAAAATGGCAAAACTCCATCTCTATGGAAAAAAAAAAAAAAAAGGCAAAGAGATGTTGCTCTTAAAAAAACATGTATGAGTGGCCAAAAAGGACGTGAAAAGACTAGGCCAGGCATGGTGCTTCACTCCTCTAATCCTAACACTTTGGGAGGCCAAGGTGGGCAGATTGTTTGAGCTCAGGAGTTCGAGACCAGGTTGGGCAATATGGCAGAACCACATCACTACAAAAAATAGAAAAATTAGGCAGGTGTGGTGTCATGTGCCTATAGTCCCAGCTACTTGGGAGGCTGAGGTAGGAGGATTACCTGAGGGAGGTCGAGGTGGCAGTGAGCCATGATCACATCACTGCACTCCAGCCTGGGCAACAGAGTGAGACCTTGTCTCAAAAAAAAAAAAAAAAGATCATCTCTATCATTCATGATTATGGAACTGCAAATCAAACTCAATGAAATGCCACTTCACACCCACAAGGGTAGCTAGAATTAAAAAGGCAGACTAGGACCGGGCGTGGTGGCTCATGCCTGTAGTCCCAGCACTTTGAGAGGCCAAGGCGGGCGGATCACAAGGTCAGGAGATTGAGACCATCCTGGCTAACAAGGTGAAACCCCGTCTCTACGAAAAATACAAAAAATTACCCAGGCGTGGTGGGGGGTGCCTGTAGTCGAGCTACTCAGGAGGCTGAGGCAGGAGAATGGCATGAACCCGGAAGGCTCACGAGATTGTGCCACCACACTCCAGCCTGGGTAATAGAGCAAGACTCTGTCAAAAAAAGAAAAAAAAAAAAGGCAGACTATAGGAAGTATTGGTAAGAATGTGGAGAAACTGGAATCTTCACACACTACTAGAGGGAATGTACAATGATCCTATCACTTTGGAAAGCAATCTAAATGTTAAACATAGGCTAAGTTACCATGTGACTCAACAATTTTATTCCTAGGTATCCACCCAAGAAAAATAAAAACATATGTCCATTCAAAGACTTGTACATGAATAGCAGTACTATTCATAATAGCCAAAAGATGGAAATGACTCAGATGTTCATCTGCTGATGAATGGTTGAATAAAATAAAATGTGGTATATCCATGTGATGGAATATTATTCAGCCACGAAAAGGAATGAAGTACTGACGCACACTGCAACATGAATGAACCTTGAAAACAGTGTGCTAAATGAAAGAAGTCAGTCACGAAAGGCCACATATTGTACAATTACATTTATGAAATGTCCATCATAGACAAATCTATAGAAATAGAAAATAGATGATTGGTTTCCAGGGGCTAAGGAAGAGGAAAATGGGGAGTAACTATGAATAGGTGCAGGGTTTCTTTCTGGGATGATGAAAATATTCTAAAGTTAGATAATGATAATGGTTGTATGACTCTGTGAATATAGTAAAAATAAATAAAAATAAAATAAAATAACCAAGCAGGGAATGATAGGACTACAACATAGGGAGAAACAGAGAGGTAGAGTGAGTGCTGACTGGAAGTCTGGAGGCTGATTTTTAGTTCAGAGTTTTATTTTTAGTTCGATTAGCTACTTGGCTCTTGGGCAAGCCACTTCTCTCCAGTTCTCATTTCCTCATCTATAAAATAGATGAGTTTAACGAAAATACCTTTAACATCCTTCCTAGGTATAACATTTTATGAGTCTATGAAGGGCTAAACATGGTCTCAGGGTCATGGTCATAGTGGGCCACTGGAAATAGGCCAAGAATATCAAAACTCTCTGTGGGGCTCGGGTGCATGGCTGGTGTAGGATGTAACTGCCAGGACCCTGGAGAAAAGTTAGAGATCTCTGAAGAGAATTAAAAGGTTGAGAACTCACTGTGGGATAGGAAGGTGTAAGAATGTCTAGGTGAAGGAGGAAAACCATTTATTTACAGAGACCTGACTTTTACGCAGCAGTGGGACTCATCAGTCTGCAAGGAGCAGAGGACAGCTCTGCAACCCGCTTACTCTTTCCTGCTCCATTCCCAGGCTGGTCCAGACAGGAGCAGCTCCCTGGGAGGCATTTGGGTCCCAGCTGAGATGGGCTGCTCTGGCTACCTCACCCCGCCTCTCCCCACCGCTCCCATCCAGTCATCCTCCTCCCTCCTGTCCTCCAGTCACTGAAAATGACTGAATACCTACCCTGTGCAGGGACAGTTCTGGGCGCTCCAGACCTAGCAATGAACAAGGCAGATCAAGTCCCTAACCCCACTTATTTTCTAATGGGAGGTCACTGACAATCAACAAATAAATGAAAGGGTAGGAAAACAAAAACAAAAAACAACAATTTCAGGTGGTGGAAGTGCTTATAAAGAAAAGAGTCGGGCAGGGGTGGGCAGAGGGAGTGGGAGAGGTAGATGAGCTTGTTATTGAAGGCCAATCTGGCCTCAAAACCTTAGGCCAAGGCTGAGGGAACCATGAGTCTGAGGGCCTTGAGATAGGAATGAACTTGCCGTCTTAAAGGATGAATCAAGGAGGCTGAGCAAGTGAGGGGGAGCAAGGGGGAAGGTGGAGCTTGAGAAGTGGACGGGACCAGGCCATGGAGGGCTTCTCAGGCACGAGCAGCAGTTTGGTTCGTCACTGGAGATTGCTGGGTAGGGGTCTTATTGATTGATTGATTGAGACGGAGTCTCCTTCTGTCACTTAGACCTGGAGTGCAGCGGTGCAATCTCCGCATACTGCAACCTCTGCCTCCTGGGTTCAAGTGATTCTCCTACCCCAGCCTCCCAAGTAGCTGGGGACTACAGCTGCGGGCCACCACACCCAGCTAATTTTTGTATTTTTAGTAGAGATAGGGTTTTGCCCTGTTGGCCAGGCTGGTCTTGATCTCCTGACCTCAGGTGATATGCCTGCCTTGGCCTCCCAAAGTGTTGGGATTACAGGCCAATGCTCCCGGCCAGGGATCTGATTTACACCCTACCCTAGCAAGGACAGTCGGAGGCTGCTGCTTATCTAGTGTCCTCATCGGCTGTGCAGGTGCAATGTAAAGGGGCTGCCTGAGTCCAGGTCCAACCCTTACTCATCTAGCAGTTGGAGGTCTTCCATAGGTGTGTCTGTGCAGGGCTTGGGTGGCAGGAAGTTACTATAAAGAAAAAAAAATCACTGGGCCAGGCATGATGGCTCACGCCTGTAATCCCAACACTTGGGAAGCTGAGGTGAGAGGGTGGCTTGAGGCCGGGAGTTCCAGACCAGCCTGGGCAACGTAGTGAGACCCCACTCTCTCCAAAAAACTTTAAAAACAAAAACTAGGCAGGTGTGATGGCATGCATCTATAGTCCCAGCTACTCAGGAGGCTGAGGTGGGAGGATTGTTTGAGTCCAGGAGTTAAGGCTGAAGTGAGCTATGATCACACCACTGCACCCCAGCCTGGGTGACACAGCAACACCCTGTCTCAAAAA